ATTGGACATCCCCTCACAGAGGGGTCACAGGGAAGAGATGAGCCAGTCAGGGTGCAGTATAGCACTGATGAAACATACAACTTTCCTCTAGTTCTTTGGTGCTTCCTTCCCCCCACTATCATGACCTCAGTTCTACCTTACAAATCGGATTAGACCAGAGCATGCACACCGCTACAGATAAGAGCCCGAAACACAGGGAATCCAGGATAGATAAACCCCTCAGAGCCAACAAGGAGAGTAGAGATACTAGGAGGATTAGGGGAGGGTGGGGGTAGAAAGGGGAAATTAATCACAAGGATCAACCTAGAACCCCCTCCCAGGAGGACAAATAAAGAAAAAGTAGGTGAGGGGCAATGGAGGATGATGGAAAAAAATATGGAAAAAATAATCTATAACTTATCAAGGGTTCTTGAGGGAGGGCAGGCGGGTGGGCGGAGGCAGAAGTGGGGAGCTAATATCAGGGGCTCAAGTGGGAAGGGAATGCTTTGACAATGATGATGGCGGCATCTGTGTATATGTGCTTGACACATTGGAGGAATGTATGGATTGTGATACAAGATGTAAGAGCCCCCAATGAAAGTATTTATGTTCATCGCCCCAAATGTCTTGAGTTGTGCCTTTTGTCTCTGGTAGTGCTCAAGAAAAGCCAGGGCAGGTCAAGGTACTTGGCGTCCCTGAACGAGGGTTCCATAAGCCTCTTATTAGGCATGGAGCAATTCATTTCTGAGATGTTTCTTCAGCTCATTGTATCTTCCTCTCTTCCCAGTGTGTGCTATGAGCGGGTTCCCTGGTACCCCACGGTGCTAACCTTCGTCCTGTCTGCCCTGTGGCATGGTGTCTACCCGGGATACTATTTTACCTTCCTAACTGGAATCCTTGTTACAGTCGCATCCAGAACGGTGAGCTTCCTTGGGTTGTAGCATCTTGTCCTTCGTCATCCGATGCCTCTATGGTTAACGCCTCTTGGGTCCTAGCAGGAATAGTGAAACATCCAACAGCAACAGCCACACATCTCCCCGGTAGAGAACTCCTTCAATTGGTAAGAACTTGGGGGTCATTGAAAGAATGGTGGGCCACTTCATTTAGTTCTTGTGGACGCCCTGCATTCCTGAATGAAAGGAATTCTTGGAGCAATGGCGACCTTTCCCACCATTGCACACTGTGAACACACAGTCTACTGAGAAGCAGTGGCAGTGATGGTTAATTCGTGGAGCTCTCTTGCGCTTCAATTTGCACATCATTTTCTCATTTCAATCTCCGAATTGGAGGAATGATTCACACACTGTCCATCTGAGCAGCCAGTGCAATGGCAGCCGCAGGAGCTGTGTCCTGTTAGGGACGAATCTGACCTTCCAGCTTATCATCCCCGACCCAGTTGACTTAGTTCCTGAACAGTTCTTCCTGAATTTTATAAGGTTCCGTATCTAGGTTGTTTGGGAGGAGCCCAGGTGACACGGTGGTTAAGTGTTGGGTCAATAACCCAAGGTCAGCAGATGGAAACCCTGAGCTGGTCCACAGCAGAAAGGTAAAGCCTTCTGCACCCATAAAGAGTTTCATTCTCGGAAACTCACTGGGGCAGTTCTGTCCTGTCCTATAGGGTTGCTATGAATCAGAATGTATTCGATGATGGTAAGTGTGAGGTTGTCTGGCTAGCCATCATCTTGTCCTACCTGGTTTCTACTATTGGCTGGTTGTAGAGCTGTATACAAGGAATTAAAAATATGTCTGCCCTTGTGGAAGGAGCTAGAAAATCTATATAGACCCACTTCTGCCAAGTCGATTCCAATTTATAGTCACCCAACGGGATAGAGTAGCAGTGCCCTTGGGCTTTCCAAGAATGCAGTCTTCACCGAAGCGGACTGCTATATCTTTCTCCCTTGAAGGGTCCGGTGGGTTCACACTGCTAAATTTTCTAAGATTTGCAGCTTAGCACTTCCCCAGGGCTCCTGAACACAAATTATCGATTCACAGTGACTTAGTCACCAGATCCAGAGCTGGTGCTCTATGAGAAATCATTAGCAGCTAGGCTAGGATAGTCAGGCAAGTCCCAGAGGACACACATTGTACAAGTCACAGGGCCCCAAAGTGTCTTAGCTCCCTGGGAGTCTCATGCCTCATGCCCACTATTGCCTCAGCTTCCTTTCGTGGTTGGAGGAGCTGTTCTGAGGAGCTCAGGGCTGAGGAGAAGAATTCACCTCTTGCTTTCAGTCTACTTTTGAGCCCTCAGTGCTGGCAGCGAGTCTTCCTTCTGGGTACAATCTAGTCGCACCTGCCCAAACAGCTGCCAACGAAAACATCCGCTGACCCAGCCCTAGCAATGTCATGGAATGGTCTCTTTAGCTAAAGCTCAGCTTCCTTATCTATAAGATGGAGCTGGGAGCCCTGGTGGCACAAAGGTTAAGCATATGGCTGCTAACCGTAAGGTGGGCAGTGTGAACCCACGGAGTGGTTCAGTAGGAAAGGACATGGCAATATGCTCCAATACAGGCTACAACCTACAGGCAAGGAGTCCTGGCAGTGTAATGGGTTAAGTGTTGGACAGCTCCCTGCAAAATGAGTAGTTCGAACCCACCAGTCATTCTGTGGGAGAAAGATGAGGCTATCCACTGCTCTGAAGAGTTACAGCTTCGGAAACTCATGGGAGCAGTTCTACCCTGTCCTCGATCGGTCACTATGAGGCAGCATCGACTTAATGGCAGGGAATTTTCATCATTTTTCTTTAATGGGTAGTTGCACTCAGTCATATAGGGTTGCTATGAGTTGAATTCACTTGTTGGCACCTAACAACAACAACAAATACAGCAACAGAATGCAAGTAAGACTACTTCCGCTGTAGGGCTCGTGGGAGAATCAACAGAGATGATATTTGGGTAAACATTAGTACAGAGCTAGTCTCAACTCACTGCCATCAGCCTTAAGTTGACAGAGTAGAACTGTCCCTGTGGGTATCTGAAACTGGGACTCTTTATGGGAGTAATAATTCTCATCTTTCTCCTGAGGAGTGGCTG